GAAACTTTAACCAATTAAGAGCCATATATTAAAGGAAAAAGCTCATTCTTTCACAAATGATCATTTTGATAAATATTTTAATCAATATGAATAAAATGTAAGCAAAAGTGGTTGTTGATAATAACAAAAAAGGAAAAAATCGATTCACAACACATTCACAGCATAGTAAAATAATTTTTTTTTTTCTTTTCACTTCCACAACCTAGAAAAGTTTAGATCCAAATAGTGTTCCTACTTCAATTTTAAAAAATCATATCTAATCCTATAAGTAAAATTGTAAAAACTTAGTTTAAAAAAAAAGAGAGTTTTTCCAAACTTCTCTAAAACTGCTAATTCATTTGAAATAAAATCGATCAAAACTTGAAATTTTAATTACAGACTTATTACACTATTTTCTAGGATAAATAATAAGGAAATAATCCCTATAATTCATGTGCACATATTTTTTGGATACTTTTATTTGTATTTATAAATTGTGATACTGATTGAAGTTGATTGAAATGTACCATATAAAAATAAATTCAATTGTGAATTTATTGACTTCCAAAAACCTTTAGCACAGTAAACCTTATCAACAATTCTTCTCAACAAATGTTATATAGTATATGAAGCTTAACTAAACTGGTTTAAATCCTAATTGAACCAATAGATATGGTTGTGGTTCAACCATAACTTCAATTTGTAACTATAACAACTTGTGACTATATTATAGTTACAAATTCTTATAGTTACAAATTGTTATAGTTACAAATTTTTATAGTAACAAATTGCTATATAGTTAAAAATGAGATTTTTTTGATTATAGTCTATATAAAAAACATCTTCTCAACTGAGCACAGATTCAGGAATCCCCCAAATATTTATCTTTAGATGTTATGCTTTTCTTGATATAATTTAATGAGTAAAACACATGCCTTGATATGTTTACTAAACATTTTAATTTTATAACACTAATTGATATGTCTACTTACTATTTTAATTTTTTAACACTAATTGATATTTCTACTTACCATTTTAATTTTTTAACACTAATGAGAGCTATTGCTCTCATCCAGTTAAGATCTGATGAAATGAGCCCATTTCATCAGATCTTAACTGGATGAAAGCTATAGCTCTCATTTATATGGCTTTATTTATTTTTTAACAATAGGTGTAATTTTTTAACAATAGTGTTCAAAAAAAACATATTCAAAAAAAAATGTAATTACATTTTTTTATTTGAATATGTTTCATACCATTAGTATCGTCGATATACAAAAATAGTATTAATATTATAAACAGTATTTTTTTGTGTGTGGTGAGAAATAAAACTTGCAACCATGTGAAAAATTGTTTGTTTTTGTGGGCTCAGAGTATATCATTTATTACGGCTGATTTTCACGGCTTCATACCATTACTATCGTCGATATACAAAAATAGTATTAATATTATAAACAGTATTTTTTTGTGTGTGGTGAGAAATAAAACTTGCAACCATGTGAAAAATTGTTTGTTTTTGTGGGCTCAGAGTATATCATTTATTACGGCTGATTTTCACGGCTGAAGCAAAATTCAAACTATTTAACTATTTTTGTAATCTTTCACTCACTTATTATGACACTCTTCCTCAACTTCCTTCGTCATCCATGGTGCACAATAAACTAACCACTTATATAGAAATTAGCCACTAAGTTACTTGCTGGTTTGTTCTTTAAAATCTCTTTTTATTAACAAATATTTTCAGTTTTAAAATTATTGTTTAAGGGTTTGTAATTTATTTTTTTAATATAATTTATTCTCTTTTATAAATACATTTTTTCATTTTTAAAATCGGCTAAGATTGCTAGTAGATTTATATATATATATATATATATATATATATATATATATATATATATATATATATATATATATATATATATATATATATATATATATATATATATATATATATATATATATATATATATATATATATATATATATATATATATATATATATATATATATATATATATATATATATATATATATATATATATATATATAAATATATATATATATATATATATATATATATATATATATATTTTTGTTTTAAACTTTTTTTTAATGTCTTCTTTAAAAAAATTTTTTTTTGATATAATTGAAAAGTTAACTTACAACATAATTTCGTTTAATATTAATATAAAAATATACTACATAATATGTACATAACATAATTTCGTTTAATATTAATATAAAAATATACTACATAATATGTAGTATATTTTTTTTATTAATATTAAACGAAATTATGCTGTAAGTTAATTTTTTGTTCTAAAATTTTATGTTACGAAATTATGTTGTAAAATATTACAAATTTTTGTAAGAAATTACAAATTTTTATTTACAAATTTTTACGAAATTATGTTGTAAGTTAATTTTTTGTTCTAACATATTATGTGAGAGAACGAGGGTAGCAATACAAGTGTAATATTTGCACTTGAATATGTGTTATTTTACTTTTATTTATCCAAAAACATGGCCGACGACACAGGACGAAGGCGAGGGGGGGGGCACAATCCTCAATTCTTAAAAAAAGTCATAAATATCTATAATTTTCTTTAAAAAAGGTCCTTTAGAAAAAAGTGGAGGAGGCACTTGAACCCTGGCCCGGCCCCTTCCCCCCCCCCCCTCCCTGGTGTTGTCGGCATTAAAAAAATATTCCGCTAATTGCATACTCCGTTTCTTTAATAAAGATAAAAAGCTTAACTCAATTACAAATGTCTTGAAAAACACATTGCTGTATATCGTAACTTTCTGTAAAGACCAAAAAGTAGAAAATAAAATATAGCAAAAACATTTGCTTAAAAATATCATCTTTTTTGTACTAAAAAGTAGAAAATAAACTTCTAATTTAAATTTAATAGTTCAGTAATTTAAAGATTGACAGGTATGTTTCTTTATAAACCTTGTGCAGAACCATCAATCTTTATTTTAGTGAACCATTAAATATAAAGTAAAAAGTTTATTTTCTACTTTTTAGTACAAAAGAGATTATATTTTTGAGAATTATATTTTGAGGATTATATTGAGGATTATATTTTGCTGCATTTTATCAAAAATTTTATATAAACAACTTTAACTTTAACTTTAAAAACATATAAGTAAAATTATTTTTGTTTTATCGGTAAATAAAAATCATTTATTGTAGATTTTTTTACAGGATGGTCAAAGTTAACCTGAAGGATATTTTACAGGGTGGTCAAAGTTAACCTAAAGGATTTTTTACAGAGTGGTCAAAGTTAACCTGAAGGGTTTTTTACAGGGTGGTCAACCTGAAGGTTCTTTTGGAATGTTTGATAGTCAAGCTTCAAAAAGCATGAATATACCAAGAAGTACTATCCGTAATAAAATGAGTTTAAAGAATAAAAAAGACAATGGTGCCTTAACCATTTTAACTCATTACAAAAAGACTTTTTCAACTAAAATCACGGTTAAGTGTAATTGGGGATCTCCGTTACAAAAGTTTGATGTCAAAATTCTAGTTCTGTATATTAAAAATCTCAATGTTGTAATGTAAAAATCTTTTGAAAAAATAAGTTGTTTTTGGGTGGTGACCTTTAATTTGGATGGTCAACTTTAACATAAAAATTTGTAATGAAACGTCAAATAAGGAAAATATGAATAGCAGTAAAGTTAGTATCTCTGAGATGTTTTGTGCAATAGTGCAGCAGATATTGTCACCATCAATAGTTTTCGAAGGCTAATGGCATAGCTACGGTTATCTTTTGCACTAATGAGCAAAATCACTTAGACAATCTTGTTCTATTGAAGCACGTAAAAATAAAAAATAGGCGACAGTTTGCAACTGAAGCAATAGTTGCAGGAAATATTTGCTATGAATTGCGCAGGTTCAGAAATACTACATTTCCATATGAAACAATTAAATCAAGTAGATCCAAAGAGGTTTTTGGTAGAACTTTTGCCTGGGTACTGAGCAGCATTTTAAAGTCTCTAATTTCAGAACCCGATTTGTGACCATCGACGTAAGTATCGTAGGAATTTTCAAAATCTTGGATAAAGTGTATTGGCATTTGTCTCAACAAAAAGAGATTAGACGACTAGTAAAAATCCACATTTGGTGCTTATGCTTTTGTGACATAAAAACCGTATTGATGTTTTCTATTAGAGTCTATGAACAACGCTGTTAATCAAACATGCATCTCCTTCTGCAGAAAGTCCTGCATCTCTTGGTAATTCTCTAGGCATATTCCAATGTTGATTAGTTCTTTTATCAAATTCGATTTTCCATTTTTTTTTATTATTTGCCGCAATCTGGCTTAATTTATATATATATATATATATATATATATATATATATATATATATATATATATATATATATATATATATATATATATATATATATATATATATATATATATATATATATATATATATATATATATATATATATATATATATATATATATATATATATATATATATATATATATAATATATATATATATATATATATATATATATATATATATATATATATATATATATATATATATATATATATATATATATATATATATATATATATATATATATATATTGAAATACGCAGAAAAAGGAGGTGGGGATGAAAAGAGTGTTAGAAAAATATACAAATAGTAATTTAAGCAAAAAATGACCTTAAATTGAACCAGGAAAATCTACTAATAGTAGCTAATGACAGTAAAGTAGAAACAGCATCTGAAAGATAAAGTTTAGTTGACTTTATGATAGACTAAGAGAATGCTTGCTATTTAAATTAGTTTATATTGTTTATTTTTTTTCTTAAAAAATAAGTTTTTGTTTGTATCTGTAAATTACGTTTTTGTTTGTATCTGTAACTTATATTACGTTTATATTTTGGAACTGTGTAATTTTTTTTCTCAATAGTTATATATACTAGTAAACTTTTAAACTTATGAGTGTTAATTAAATATATATATAAAATGTTATATTTTCATTACTTTAACAAATAGTTTGGTTTAATACAGTGTACATTTATTTGACCTTACTTATGTCAATTTGTTATTTTAGATTCTAATTATGTAATTAAGCTAAATATAAATTTAGTATCCATTAAATATTGATCAAAAAATTTTATTTATACCCAAAAAACGCGTTTTTGGACTTCATCTTTAAATAAGAAAAGTGCATTATTAGAAAAACCAGCCAAATAATGACAATAGTACTTTATAAAGGGACAAATAAAAGATTTGTAGAGGTAAAAAATAAATTCAGAAGTAAGAACTTAGAAGACTAAGAATCAGAAGACTCAATGAGAGGAGGTTAGGAAAATTAAATAAAATGGCTATATATATATATATGTAAATGATTTGATAATCTCAAAAGCTTTTACAGATACACCATATGAAGCAAGTTTATGGAAAAGACAAACATGGCAAATTTTATTGAAAGCTTTAGAGATTTCAGGAATAATAGCCCTTGCCTCGCGCCCTCCATCTAATGCAATCTTTCACACTAGTTAGCAAATTAGCTAACTACGGTGAACAAGAAGAACAAGAAGATTAAAAACCATATTAACTGTCTGACAGTAAGTTATTTGACTCAAGATGGAATGTCAGAAATTGTTGTTCAAAAAAAGTTGATCAAATACTTAAAGACTTTTTAATAATTGAGAGAAGACTGATCAGATAATAATTGGAATCAGAATGTTCTCCAGAGTTTCTTAAAATTGGAACCTCAAATTTTTTTGTATATAAATAAGAATCATTAAATCATTTATTAAATAGTCTAGAAATAATTGAAAAGAGTTCTGGAGATAATTGAAATAATTGAAAAGAGTTCTGGAGAACACTTTTGTAAGACTATGACAGGAATGTTGCCGAGATCACAACCTGTCGGAGGATTTAATTGAGATATTAATTTAGCAACGTATTGACTGTCTGACAATTAGTTATGTGACTCAATATGGGGTCTGAAAAAGGGATAAGAAACTTGTTGATAAAAATCTCAAAGACTTTATTAATAATCGAAGACTGATCAGATAATTGTTGGGAGAGGGGGGGGGGTCAGAAGGTTCTCTAGAGTTTTTCAAAATTGGAATCACAAATGCCATTTTTATCTGATAGGAAAATAAGGTTCAGTCAAGCAATTATTAAATAGATTCGAGATATTCCTGCAATAGTCTTTTTGTAAGACTATGACGGAATGTTGTCTGGACCACAAGCTGTAGAAGGGATGTCTAATAATAGGTTAACCTGTTTAACTGGTATTGCAGAAAGAGTATAGCTATAAGATTCAAAATTTGAATTAATTTTATTCTAAATAGTTAAATTAAAGTTATTCTAAATTCTTAACTTGTGGTTTTCAACGTGTTTAGATCAAATTTCATCGACGGTAAAGAATCCTTCTTAAATAACTTTTTAAAAGTTTAAAATGGACCTTCCTTATGTTATAATACAGCGTAATGGAGCGTATGGTTTTCTATTTTTAGAGTTAGTTAAGTTTCGCGTGGCATACGTTATGTAGAGCGCTTTGATTTATGATTTTTATTTAAAAGTATTTGTTATTAAATGGTGCGCTTTTTTCAATGCTTCTTTCAAAGTCAAAGTGAAACAGCTAGTTAAGCGACAACAAACTTTTTAGCACTAAAAATTTTTTTAATGTTTTGTTTCCAAAAGCATTATAATTTAATTTTTACTGGCTGAACTAATATTTTTGTTTCATGTTTACAAGATAACAAAATTAATTTTATAGCAAAAAAACTTCAAAAGTTGCGCCTAATATAGTAATAATAAGTTTGTATGATTGTTACCATGGAAACAGGCTGGTAAAAAAAAACTTCTGTAAATTGTAATGAAATATAGCTATAAATTACTTAAATTAAATAATCACCAGGATTGTTCATTTATCATTAAAAAACATTAAATACAAAAGTTTACACATTAGTTGTAGCTAATCTAGTTTGCACATTAGTTAACTTTCTTATTAAAATGTTAGCTGTTATAAGATATTTAGGCATTTTAAAACAAAATCTTATTAACAAAATTATAATTTAGGTAGATGACAGAATCAAAAACCTATTCCGACGTTTGAAGTTTTGTTTAAATTAATGACCCTAATAATAAATCATTGTTTTTAATAAATGCGTAGTGTAAAAAATAAAGTATATGGTTATAATTTACTTTAAAGAATATGTGTTGCGTAGTCTTGTGGTTTGTAATTTTGCCTTGTCTACCGGCGATGAGGAATCGATTCCTCTTGAGCGCTAATGCTTTTGTGTGTACTTTTATACTATATTTTAAAGTATTTAGTTCTAGTTTTATGTGTAATGTCTATCATTGTTGTTAATGAAAAGTTATATTGTTTATAAAATTTTATTTATTATAAAAATTAGTAAGTGTGCACACATAGACTGACTTAAACAAGTAGAACAGGCAGGGAATGTACATACATCAACTGACAAAATAGGTAGAACATGCAGAAAATGTGCATAGATCATCTGACTTAAATGCAGGAAGTGTACATACATTGACTGACTAAATCGGTAGAACATTCAGGGAGTATTCATACATTGACTGACTTAATAGGTAGAACGTGCAGGGTGCGTACATACATCGACTAATGGTTTCGGTTTAGGCAGGAAAGTTAAAAAAATAGTTTGTGTTAAAAAGTGTTTAAATCAATGCAAACATATACTTTGTTATATTCCGGTCTTTGTTATAATATATTCTTGTTATAACAAACATATACTTTGTTATATTCCGGTCTTGTTATAATAAGTCAACTGACACACGTTCTTTAAGATATCTTTATTTATTGCAAACTTTTATAAAAACAAAGTGCAGAGTTAAAAAAAAATATAATTCAAAAAGAGACACTTACGCTAACAATTTTTCCCGCCAGAGGAGACACAAGAAAAGATATGAGAGGAAAACAAGAGAGAATGCGCCCAGTCCAAGCTAAACTTGTTTTAGTATTTTTTGCCTAAAAAATACATTCCAAATACATTATAATGCTTATTAATATTAATCATATATGTACAAATAATTTAGTTCCTCACGTTCTAAAGATTTAATTAATAAATTGAGTCTGTAGAATCTGAAGAACTATATAATAAAGAGTAATCCTAAAATGATGAAGAAATATTTAAATAGCACTTTAAAGATAATATATGAGAGAGAACTATGTTGGCTTCCAAGTAGTAATTTTTTCTACGTTTAAGTTAAAAAATAATTAAGTAAATTAGTAACTAAATCTTCTGATTTAAGATATTTGTTTGGAACACAAATAAAGATAAAAACAAGATAAAAGTAATTATTTTTAAAAAGATGGTACCATTAATTACAGGTTTTTAAATATATGTTGAATCTTTTACAACGCCTCAATTACCACATTTGAGGTAATTGAGGCGAAGTAACCACGCCTTATAAAGACTCAATAATACCATTGACTTTCTTACTCTTTACTGCAAATATTTTACCGATTGTTAAATAACTATAATATTATATAATCGTTAGGTAGCAATCGGTATATATATATATATATATATATATATATATATATATATATATATATATATATATATATATATATATATATATATATATATATATATATATATATATATATATATATATATATATATATATATATATATATATATATATATATATATATATATGTATATGCGTTCAAGATATTTTTTAAAAATAAACATATCTAAACAAAATTTTAATAAAACGATACCTCTATTGGTAGAAATGGTGCTACAATGGCAAATGCACTAAAAGAGGCAAAGAATATTGTGCATATAACAGCCATGATAATCAGAGATTGTTTCTTATTTTTAAAAGATGGCTTATTGTAACCATCATCAACTTTTACAACTTTGATATTTGATACTTTAAACGAATTGGAGTAATCTTCATTTTTAATCAACAAAGGATCAAACTCTTTGTCAGGCATTTTTATCTAAAAACAGTTAACAAATCAGTAAAGATAAAATTTGTTGTTTTTTTTAAGTTATTTGAAGTAAAGATTTTTAATGTACTAAGTTCTTTTTTGATTCAGTTACTTTTTTTGCAGACTAAATATTAAATATAAATGTAACAAACATCTGGTATTTTTCATATGTTTGTTGAATACAAACTCTCTTTTTTTTAACAACAAGGTTAAAAGAATTTATGACTATATATTAAACTGTATGTCTTATGTTAAGAAGTATTTATGTATACCAAAATAACCTTGAAACAATATAGTTTTCTATATAAAAAACTTGCGATTGCAGAAAACCAAGCAACGCTTAACTAAGAAAAGTTTAGAAGATTTAATGTAGTCAATTTAATGTTTACGGAAGTTTAGCAGACATAAACAATAAAATATAACAGACAACATAAAAGCAAGTCAGTAACTTTATTAACAATTTTTTTTAGTAATAATTAGATATGTAAGTAGCAAAACTAATAAAACGATGATTTAAAAATTAAAGTTAACAATTAATTAATTTTAATTATTAGTTAAGTTTAATAATAAATTTTTATTATCGTACTAGAAGTTAAACTATACAAAATATATGAAAGTTTTAGTCAAGAGTATTTTATAGTTTGTTTTTTTATTAAAAACCAAACTCGGGTTATCTTTTTTCATTTTAATTTTACCTTTGTAAATTTAGATTTTTTTTTAAAGATGTTTTCTTCTAAATTGACTCTACGCCATATATAAAATTTTAAAATTAAAAAATGAAAACACAGTTTTTGTCCATTCTTTATTCTTCGCATCTAAGATCAAATTAAAGACTTTTTTGCAAATCCGAGCAGAATTTTTTTTTATATAGATTTGATTAACCATGTTTTGTTCAGTTGTTTAAACAGTTTGTTAGAAGTTAGAATGTTATTTGTCTCTGGTTATTTTTATAGTAAAATATTCAAAAAAATAATAATACTCAATTTTATTGCATACTATAAAAAAGACAAAAGACAGAAAGTAAAATCTACCTAATATAGCTTAAAAAACATTTAAAGTTCGAAATATATTTTATCAAGAAACAAATATCAGGATATGTATCTGTTTGAATTAAATATTTGTAGAGCATTTTAAGTGTTGGGTGAGGTTCACCTGGGTTGGAAATGTTCATGTAGAAAGGCTTATTATTTAAAATATTTTTTCTCTTTTATTTTTATAGTTAAATGAATTTAAAAAGTTTAATATTTTTTCAATTGAGAAAAATTGAAACTTCTATTTAATTTAACCGAAGATCTTTTAACTTAAATAAAATGTTATACTTACTTTTTTTTAATAACCTTTTTGACTTTATTTGACCGTAAACCGAATTTTTTTTCTTAAATTTTAACAATTTTTTAAAATAAAATAGAGAATATAAATAGTTTTTTGGTTTTAATATCACTTATAAAAATGTTCAATCGAGTTCAAAATAAATATTTTTTCCAGCAAATATGCATTTCTACTGAATAGAATATGAATGAACAGATATGTATATAAAGAGGTTGCTGTGGTCTCATGCGGTGTTAGAAGTTACTAAAGAAGTACAAATTTCAATACAAGAAATACAAATTTAAAGCAATAAAAACTTCTTGTAATGAGTTTTGTTTTCCGGAATTTTTTCTTACAGTTTTTTGTTTATCAAAAACAATGAAATTTGAACTTGAATTTTTTACATATATAACTTATTTAATATATCAAATATAGTTTAAAGAAAAGCATTTTTGTCATTATATACTATTTAGAAGTTGGTTGAATTGTTTATTTTTAATTTTGAAAAATGATTTATTATTAAATTAGTACACCATGTTTGAAAAAGCTTTAATCAACCACATTAGCTGAGTATTTTCTGTAATCCAAAAGTAACATTATTTACTTAAATCATAAATAATATTATTCATAGAAATTTGATAACCATTGTTAGAGTAATAATAACATAAAATGTTAAACAGTGAAAAAAGGAAAAAATAAATATAGTAACAAAAAATGTTTCTGATATATTAAAGATTTTATCATATTGAATTACAATAAAAATAAAAAGATGATATCTTATCCAAATATACGTTAAACAAGTAGTGGATAAATTATGAATATGGCTACATTTACTTACCAAAATCAAAAAAAATTGAAGAAATTAGAAAAAAAAACTTAAATAAAGAAAAGTTTATTTTAGTTATAATCAATAGTGAAGAAAAAACTAAATCAATACGGCCAAAATTATGATACACTTGTAGAAAAAAAAAAAATTGTCTTCAAGGAAATCTAATAACCAATAAAAATAGTTTTTTTTCTCAATGTACTAACATCCCTTAAAAACCATTTTTGTACGAATATCAAGTAGAGCAATAACTGAAATTATTTTTTACGCGTGTTGTCGAACAAAACGCGCGTAATAACGCGTACACGCGCATGGTACGCATAAAAACTGCGTGTAAAAGAATAATTTTAATTTCGTATAGAACCTTTGACCCCCCAAAAAAAATTTATTTTTGTATTTTTAAAATTTTTTTAGATTTTTACCTTTCTTTGATCATCCTAAATCGTAGTCCATTGTATTTAAAAATGGATTTATTCCACCAACAAATGAGCCGACTCGAAAAACTAGGAACAGCACAACTTTGATTGATCAAGTAATAATTAACGAATTTAAAAATACGGAGGGTCTATTTGCAAGTTTTTCACGTGCGAATAGACTATATTTTATTATCGTCTATTCGCACGTTTAATTAAAAAAAGTTAAAGATTGTCGAATTTAATGGTAATTTTAAAAATTAAATTTATTATTATTAGTTTTTAACTTTATAATTAAACTAGCGCAGTGAAGTACTAACGCAGTACTTATGTTGACTGACTTTTGAAGGATATGCGCACCGTAGTTTATATACATATTGACTGCTTATCTAGGGATAGGCGCAGCGTAATATAAATACAATAACAAAGGTTTTGTTTTGGGCAGGCAACCTTTTTATTTTAAAAAGAAGTATTTCTTTATGTTTATTTTATCAATTGGCACGTTTTTGCTTGTTTTTTAATAAAAATTTAATTAGGTTTAAGTAATTTTATTTATTTTTATTGTAATTGATTAAAAAAATTAAATTGCTTTCAAAATATATAACTTAAGTTAAAAACATTTTTTGTTAGTGAGAGATTTCATATTAAAAATATTACTTGAAATTTTATTTTAAGCGTGCGAATAGACTATAATAAGAAATAGTCCATTCATACGTGTGCGCAAATAGACTCATCTTTAAAAATGATAAAAATTTTAGGTTCTATCAAAGTTAAGTAATATTGAGTAATATTGTTATCAAATAAAAAGAGGTTAGTGTCATCTGCAATATGACAGCAATCAAGTTCGAAGCTTTATAATCATTGATGTAAATGAGAAAGAGAAGGGCCCAAATAAAGAACCCTGGGGAACACCACAGGTTATATATAATAGGTTGGATGGATCAGTTGAATTACTATAAACAAACTGTTTACGGTTGCTTAAATAGCTTTTAAGTAACAGTAAATCATTTCCTTTAATTCCATAATGTTAAAGTTTTTTAAGGAGATTTTACGATCAATTGTGTTAAAAGCTATTGATAAATCTATGAAAACTCCCAACTTGGATTGAGAATTTTCAAAAGATTCAGAAATATTGCGAATAATTTGGATTATCGCATGTTCTGTTAAGTTATTTTTATTGAATCCGTATTGATTAATTATAGTATATTATTTGAAGTAAGGTGATTATAAATTACGTTACATAAAACTTTCTCTAAAAATTTAGAAAAAACAGACAAAATGAAAATTGGGCGATAATTAGAAACATTGGTTGCATCACCAGCTTTGAAAAGAAAAACGCCCTGTTTTATTGAACAATGTAAAACTTTGTTTACACATCTTTTAGGAGTTCATAAGGCTAATTAACAAAATAAAACAAAGCAAAAAAAATATCTTTGGTTTTTCAAGTTTTCTATGTTTTTGGGCCTTGTGACATAATTGAAAATTCAGAATATAGGTTTTAGTTTTTTTAGTAAAATGGATATGGAAACTATTAAATCGCAAATTATAACTTTGGAAAAATGTTGATGAAAATATGTCTAAAAAGGAACTCGGTAGCATTTTATTTTTATATTTAAACGTAAAAGTAAGAATCTGATACAAATTAAGTTTTTTCAAGCATTATTTTTTTCATCAAATTAAGTTTTTTCAACTTTATATTTTTCATCTTATTGGAAGGGTAATCTATTCCACTTGAATAATGAATTTTTTAAGGATTTTTATCCGTTGTAGCAAAAAACTCATTCTACCTCCTAAAGGCTCAATATATAATGATTCATGCTGTACGTTATATAGAGCCAACTTACTCTTGAACTCTCTAACTAATGAGATCATGTCCGCAAAAAGTCTTGAGGTGTTCAAAAAACATATCAAGAATTGGTATATTAATAATTACGTTTGCAAAATTTATCGTTTTTAAAATTTTGTTTCATTTTATACTGACTTTTATATCTTTATCTAAGATTATAATATTATATATATATATATATATATATATATATATATATATATATATATATATATATATATATATATATATATATATATATATATATATATATATATATATATATATGTATATATATATATATATATATATATATATATATATATATATATATATATATATATATATATATATATATATATATATATATATATATATATATATATATATTTAATTTGAAACAATTGTAGTATTTTATTTTTTTTAATGACATTTATTTTTGTGTGTACTGTCTATAAATGTGTTAATTTAAATTAGTTTTTTTAATAGTTTAAAAGTTAAATTAGTTAATCATATAAAATCAACTTGAAATAAAGTTTTTAAATTAAAAAAAAAACCCGGCATCTATGCGACTACTACAAAAGGTTGTTTTGTAGTAGTCGCATAGATGCCGGATAAAACCCCTGCCAGGCTACTTTTTGATTTTTTATATTATATTTTGACTTCTATTTAACTTATAAATTCTTTAACTGGTTATATGAACAGATTATACTGTAAAGAGAAGTGGAGCGTACAATAATCTAGAAGTCGACTGGGGTGCTCGACACTCAGACAATTCCAGATTGCGCATCAGTAGCTGTTCATTTATCGTTTTTTTTGTTAAGCAATCTATTAAATACTAATATAATTACAACTGTTATCTTGGGATTCCTAATTTTCTTAATATTTTGGAACAACTGACTAATGAAGTCTAGTTCACTACAATCTACAAAATTGATTGATTACCAAAATTGATACAAAATTTTGACCAACTGTATTAAAAATTATATATTTCTAAAAAGATAAACCTTTCAGCATTGAGGATGTATTTATAGCAATTTATATTTTATATATGAAAAAAGTTTAACATTTTTAAGAAGAACCTATTAATTCTGCTGTCTTAAAGTATTTATATATAATTTAATAATCGGGTCACAAAAGTACTTACACATAGTTTAATATTTATATCACAAACTCTCAGAATACGCATAGTTTGGCTAGTAAGCTTCAGACGGAATAATTCAATATTGACTTATGTAATATCATTATCCCAGAATTTGATTAAAAGTCCTGTAAAATTGACCTTATTTATTATAACCCCAAAGTGATTAGACATCATATGACGAACTGCTTTATTATGAAAAACTTTAAATGGTTTAAATACTGTTCAATTGCAAGATTGACGTCAACTGCTCGCATAAGCAGGTAATTCAACAACTTCAATTAAGTTTTGTATGGCCATATTTATCAACTCTATAAAATTGTGACAGTCATGGCCATCCAAAATTGAAGACGTTGTGATCCAATATTTTTTAAGAACGTACATTCAACCCATAGTTTTGCAATCTCTTTTTTAGTCCATCTAGATTCATTTTGGATTTAGATGGTTTCTTCATTTAGACTTAAAGTCTAGATGCAACTAGAATTTAAGGCGCAGTTTAGCATGGTTTGATAAAAAAACCTCAATATCAAGTTGACGCAGTGCCGTGGCTAGTGCATCGGACGCCCCCAAAATAACTGTTGGAGGAAGCAAATATAAATATATATTAAACTAAAACCAAGGTTTACGCAAAAAACTTTTCTGCCATTGATAATATTTTAACAAACAACTTTTTTAATTCTGATTTTGAATTTGGTATTTTAATTGCTGAATTTTCTGATCATTTCCCTATTTTTCACGTGGTAATCTATCTAATAAAGATAATAAAAAATGTCTTGTCACTAAAAGAAACCTGACTAAAAAAAGTCTCGATAATTTAAAAAATAAAGTATTTGGGAATCCTGGAAAAATGTATATTTAGCTAAGGATCAAAATCAGACACTTAATAATACATTTAACTTTTAAATGTATTTTTGATGCTGTCTGTCCAATAATAATAATTTTACGGCTACTTTTAAATGTATTTTTGATGCTGTCTGTCCAATAATAATAATTTTACGGCTACTTTTAAATGTATTTTTGATGCTGTCTGTCCAATAATAATAATTTTACGGCTACTTTTAAATGTATTTTTGATGCTGTCTGTCCAATAATAATAATTTTACGGCTACTTTTAAATGTATTTTTGATACTGTCCAATAATAATATCTGAAGTAGAAAATAAAGAGTTAAAAAAATCCATGAATGACGAGTAATCTTATAAAATCATCTAAACAAAAGCAAAAAATTTATACAAAATTTTTGAAATCAAAGGATGAAGGTGATGAAAAAACATACAAATCCCATAAACAGTTTTTTCAAAAAAATATTTGACAACCTAAAATAATGTATGATTATAATCTGCTAAATAAAAATAAATTAGAAATAAAAAAAAACATTGAGAAAAAATGGCAGAGAAAATAGAAATCCCTTAGCATACCTCAAAAAATATTTTGTGATAATAAATACATTACAAATAAATCAGATATTCACCATGAACTTAACAAACATTTTTTAAATCTTGGTCCCAGTCCAGCTTAAAAAATAGTGATGCCAAATAAGAAGATTGAGGAATTTATTCGAGAGAAAACCCCTATCGTGTATATCAAATGAAAAAATATCCTATAAAAAATTTAACAAAGCTCTGACTGAACTAAAGCGAAATAAGTCATCCGGATATGATGATATTATTAGCAATGAAGCAATACACGTCATTGAATGTATTAGAAAACCCTTATTTCATCTAATAACGCCTTTTTTAAACACACAACTTCTCCTGATATGTTAAAAATTGCTAAAATCAATCCTGTTTATAAAAATAGAGGTTGTAATAATATTTCTAACTACCGTCCAACTTTCCTCTTACCAGTGTTCTCTAAAGTTTATGAAAAAGTAATTTACAATCGAATTTATTATTACTTGAAGTTGAACAAACTTTTATATGAAAATCAATTTGGTTTTCAAAAAAGTTGCTCAACAAAGCATGTTATCATTGAACTTACTAATAATATATTTCAATTTTTTGATAAAGGGGATCATGTACTGGGAGTACTTATAAATCTTTTGAAGGTATTTGATACAGTTGACCACAACATCTTACTATAAAAATTAAAACATTATGGTATAAAAGGAGTAATGTATAAATGGGTAAAAAATTATCTGAGTAATAGAAAGCAGTTTGTAATCAACAAAGAGTCAAGTGTTCTTGATATTGAGTGTGGGGTCCCTCAAGGCTCAATCTTAGGACCATTATTGTTTTTAATTTACATCAATGATATGCATAAAACATCATCTATAGTATCTTCAAAAATGTATGTTGATGACACAACTTTATTTTATAATCATAGTAATTTAAAATTGATAATTGGAACAATGAATACTGAACTGGAAAACTTTAACTTATGGTTTAAAGCAAAAAAACTATCCTTAAACTGTGAAAAAACTAACTACATCTTATTTTATAAAACAGGTCAATCAATGTCTCTACCGTTAAAAATTCCAGAGTTGCTCATTAACAACATAAAAATAAAACGGGAAAAATATGCAAAGTTTCTTGGTGTTCAAATTGATGAAAATTTATTATGGAGAAATCATATTGGACACATTGAATCAAAAATATCATCTGCATTAGATATTTTATATAAATATCGTCTGTTTCTTGATTTCTGTTCAAGAAAAAAACTTTACTTTAAGTCTAATTCACAGTCATTTCACATATGCTAATGTAGTGTGGGCTAATACACACAAACAAAATTAGTCAAACTACAAGGCTTGCAAAACCATGCTTGTTAAGCAATTCATTATCTAGATAGAATGGACAATCCTTCCAATTCGACAACAAATATGAAAGTCTTAAATTTGGAAAAACTTAATTTTTATCAAATTCTTATTTTTATGTTCAAACATAAAAATAATATGCTACCAAATTCTTTTTTAGACATATTTTCGTCATCCTTTTCTCAAAGTTATAATCTGCGATCAAAAAGCTTCCATAACTATTATATCAAAAAGCGAGAACCCAAGGTTCTGAATTTTCAATTATGTCACAGGGTCCCAAAATATGGAAAAATTAGAAAAATCAAAAATTGCATATTCTTAGTTTGTATAAATGATTGTAATAAATTGAAAAAAAAATAATTATAAAATAATAATTATAAAATTATAAAAAAATAATTATAAAAAGTAAAAATAAAAAAAAAAAAAAAATATATATATATATATATATATATATATATAATATATATATATATATATATATATATATATATATATATATATATATATATATATATATATATATATATATATATATATATATATATATATATATATATATATGTACTTTTATTTAGACATAGATATACGCAAAATAACGCGGTTAAGGGAACCAGCGAAAAATTTTTTTTCAGAGTTTAATACCCAAAAATGCTGAATCTTCTTTGGTTTCCTTTTTTTTAGGTGTTAAAGTATAGAAAAAATAAATATATATAATAGTTATTTTACCAGAATTTATATTAAAGTTTGCATCGATACTATAATAATGTATCAATATTATATTAATGTATTTTTATCAATCGTTATAATTTTGCATATATATATTTTTTTACCACGATAATAAATGTATTTTTTTATATGGTATACATGGAGAAGAAAAAAATAAATAAATAAAGTTAAAAATAAAAATAATTTAAGCATGTTTATTAATTTTAATTTTTAACTATGCAATTTTTCAACGTTATGCCAAAACTTTAAAACCATAAAAAGTCATAATTTACTTTATCTCCCATGAGAACTCGGTTTGAGTGTATGACCTTGAAAGTAAAATATGTAACTCAAATGATAAAAGTCTTATTTGCAGAAAACGAATGCAAATTAGTAGAATTTTTTTTAAATTTTAAAATTAAAAAAAAAAAACGATTTTTAAAAAAACAGCTTTAAAAACTTGAATAACAGACAAGTTGTGTTGCGGTATCAATCAAACTAGGGCAGATCAGTTTAACGTAAGTTTATGGAGATAGAAGTTTGATTTTCGATGCAGCTTGCTCTTTATTTCCTACGGCCACTGAACCGTAAACGACTTCAATAATTGCAACACTTAAAAAAATCAAAATGTACCAATATTTTGCATCAAGAAAGAGAAATTATTTCTCAATAAGCAGGGGTAGTCTTGTTAGAAAATTAAGAAAATTTGACACTATCGACTCGCGTAATGATTTCGGCTAAAACTTATTATTCACAAAAAACTAATTTATTTTATCACATGATCAAAAACACACTAGCAGAATTATTCAGTTTGTGTGTTTTTGTCTGCTGATTTATTTTTAAATATATACTTTCGCCTTTAAGAAATACTACAATCACAAAATACATTTAAAAAAAAATTACCTGACCAAGGCAAAAAGAAAATTATTTATAGTTTTCTTATCACTTAGACCCGTAAATATTGAATATTTTTGTAAGTTTAGAGGATTGTGTACTAGGTATTAGCGTATTTAATGTAGAAATGAATTAAGCTAAAGTATATCATTTTTTGACTTTTTGGAATTTGTATATGACCCAACTCAGTACATCATACCATTTGTTTTGCTTATTTTTGATTCAATATAATTTATAAGATAAGACTCAGCCCGGGGCTAATTTTGTTTGACAAATATAAACAAAGTAAAATAATAGGTTGAAGTTAAATATTTTGGTTTACAAACATGCAAGATTTGAATGCCTGTAACATTAAAATGAATATTTAAATGATTATTCAATAGTAAATGAATTTCAAACATAACCGTTTCCAAACATTCGAACTTAAATTATTATAAACAACACACCCACCTTTAAAGTTAAACTAAATACCACGAGGGGAAATAAACATGCTGATCGACGTAATAGCGTTGCTTAATACTTACATGCCGTCTTTTCTTTGCACTTTAGGCACAATGTTCTAAACGCGTACGTTAACAACTTTTTATTTAGCTGTTACAACTAAGAAAGTTTAACATCTACTTACTGAAACAATACATCTCTAGCAATGGTTTTTGAAATTGTAATTCCAATTTTTTTGTTAGCATCCTTTATTGTAATAATTTTTTGGTTTCTTGCACCAAGTTCTGGCCTTAAAAAAAAAGTTCGAGAAGCACCAGACAATGAGGATTTGTATACCAAAAAGCGCTTCATTCCTTCTAAAGTCCCTAACAACATTGATGCTATCGTTATTGGTTCTGGTATGGGAGGTGGAACAGTAGGCTCTTTGTTAAGTAAACAAGGCCTGAAAGTTGTTGTGTTAGAACATCATGATAAACTTGGTGGCTGTACTCATACCTTTTCATGGTCTAATCAAAATATTGATGGCGAAGGACATACCACATGTGAATTTGACACAGGTTGCCATTACACTGCTGTTGATATGTCTTTTGAAACAGCAAGATCGGGTGCAATAATGAAGTATGTTACAGATGGTAATGGCCAGTGGAATAATCTTGGTGACCCATATGATCGTGTTGTTTTTCCTTATGATCAGGATGTTGACAAGGATTGCCCAAACAATGATTTCTACAATTTTCTGTG